ACGGGTGCATCTGCTCGAGATGGTGGGTCTGACGCCACAGAGTCAGTCATGGAGTGTAGGGGGAGGAAATGGTGAGAGGCGAGGTAAGGGGGGGTGGAACTGGAAGCAGGGGGAAACAGACCCGCAGGGCCTGCGACTTGTCTGGGAAGGAGGGGAGGGGGAGAAGGGTACAGGCCAGGGGAATGAGGGATGAAGGTTGCCTTGGTTTGTTTTTCTTAGGACAGGAGAGACTAAAACGTGAAGGATGAAGCAACCCAGGCCTGTCACAACCCCCCTCTCCCTCCCACATCCAGGTATCTTCAGGCTGCACTTTGCCGCTTGCCACCGGTTCCAAACGGTGGAGGTGATTGATTGTGTGTAAACAGGATCAAGCAATTAGTCTGTGCATGCCTGGCCATTAATAAGCCTCTTATGTATTTGTAACAACACCTCTCTTACCCTCCAACCCGAGAACAAATAGCCTCGAGAATAGCCAGGCATAAGCAGAAGGGAACTCTGCGTACCTCAACTATTAACACCCAACTCAAATTCTGCACACATGGGGAAGTCCCTCACTGACTCCTACACTACCTGCAATTCTCACCAGTGTTGTTGTTTTTTTTTTAAAGTCTACAATAGATTAGAAACAGTGGTTTTCAGAGGTAGTTGGACTCCAGAGAAGAGACAGCTGACAGAGGAGGGGAAGCCAGAGAAACCCACAGCCAGGAGTCACTCCAGCCATGCACCGGGCCCAGCCCTCCCGCCTCTGTGTCCCAGGAGATCTGGTTGCCTCAAACCATCTACCACCACAGTGGCCCCAAAAAACTCACCTCTGCGTCTCTTCCACATCTCTTGATTCACAGTGAAGCCTGAGCCCCAAGGAAGGGATAAATTACATTCAAGCGTTCCTGCTTCAAAAGGACTTCCAACGATGTTTTTAATTGTAAATTTGATTTTAAGGTTTGGTGCCTATGGTATTCCCTGACATGTGAAAGGATTTAATACTTGCCAAATGAATGTCTTCCCGGTTAGATGGAAGCTCTGGGAGGACAGAGTCCTGGCCAGTGTGGTCCCCAGGTGAGGAGGTACCTGGCACACCACAGAAGGGCCTAATGTGTGTGTGCCTTGATGAATAAGATTTCAAACCGAGGCAACATTGGGTTAATAAATATATTCCTACATTTATTTTCACTATTTCATTTTACTTTTTAATGTGATAGTGGAAGAAATGTAAATTTCATGTGTGGTGCATTTTGTATTTCTGTCTGAAGGTGCTATAGCCCAGACTTTGGAGGGGGAGGACAAAGCTTAAATACCAAGTGCTGCTGGGTGCTTGGTCTAGCCCTCCATCTGCATGCGTGGGGGACGGGGTGTCACTCCCTGCAGCTGAGCAGCGGCCTTCCCTCCAGCCCCAGGCAATGAGGGCCAAGCTCACACCTTCAGACTAAGAGACCCAGCAGTGCCCAGTGCAGTGTCCATTACAACAACAAGAAATCCAGGGAGCTACTTGGTGGGGTGGCACGTTACAGACAGAAGCTGAGGGCTGAGCCAGGAAGTGGCTGGGTCACCTGCCTGGAACCCAAGCTCTTTCTAGGTTCTCCACTGGCTCCATCCTCCAGCATGGGGATGATATGCAAATGTGAAGCATGCCCCACCCCCCTCCTCCAGCCCCTCACAGGGGGCCTCAGCCAGCGCTGGCCAGATGAGATGCAGACAACAAGATAACCACAGCCCGGATGGACAGGTGCGGGTGGCCCCACCCTGGGTGGGGATTGAGGAGCTGGTGGATGTCAGCGTCATCCTCACACCCATCTTCTACGTCTCCAAAATACACACCCCAGTGTGCAGAGCTATGGGGGGGGGGGGTCAGGTCCCTCCTTTAAAGTAGAGTGACAAGTGAGTAACACCTTCCAGCCTCATAAGCCATTCGGCCTCCTCATCGGTATGGTCGGGGAAACTGAGGCTCAGCCAGAAGCCCCATCAATAAGCCTCATAAGGAAAGCTTCTCTGTGACTCCTCTTCCCATTCCCAGCAGGAAAAGACATGGGTGGGGAGGGGCGGGAGCCCAGGGAAGGGAGGGACTTGTTGCCCGACCAAGTTCCCTGCCCACCCTACCCTACTCTGTCTGTTCTGTCTATCAGACCCACTGTGCAGAAGGGAGGGAATGCGAGTGCTCAGATCATGGCTCGGAGAATTCTAGCCAAGCCTTCCATAGCAGGTCCAGCCGCCACACCTACGCAGCAACCCAGAAGTAGAGCTGCAATCGGAAATCCAGGAACAGCCTATGGGGTAGATGTACCTTGGATGCCAGGATGGGTCACTTAGTAATTCAACCAGTGTTTCTGGGGCATCTATTGTACACGGCGATGATCCAGCCAGGACCCAGCTCTGGACTCTGCTCCTTGCTCTTGCTGTGTAATCAAACCCAGAAGAGGGGATAGATAGCTACAGCTGTTGCAGATCCTGCTCAGCTCCCTCACAGAACTCCCCTCCCCTCTGCAGTAGCAGAAGCCCCACCCCCAGGGACTCAGTGAGAGGAAGGGCAGGGGTGGGGGGGGGCACCTGGAGGGGACCAGTGAGGGACAGTGCTAAGGTGCCTCTGTCCCAGGACCATGGTTGGCCACCCTGGCGTCCTGCGGCTGCTCAGCCATCTGGGAGGGGATGTGGGATGTCACCTGCCCGGAGCCCTGTGGGAGCTGACAAACTAGTGGCTTCTTCGTCCCCATGAGGCCCTCTGACACACAGGACAGCAGAAAGGAGGGATGTGGGGGAGACGGGAGGAGACACACCTGGGAGCTCCACAGGGGCATGGGATGGAGGGCTGGGTGAAATGAACTACTTTTGCTGAGGAGGATTTGGGGTGAGGAGCAGACCCTGGCAAGATGGGACAGGCCCTCATGCTTCCCTGGTCCCTTGGGGACCCCCCCCCCCGCTTGGAACCTGGGTTTTCTCCCCTGCACAGTGGATAAAACATAGGATGAACTCCTCTACTGGGGATCAGACCCTACCTGGAGCCTCCTTACCTGCATGTGTTCCTGGCAGCTTGAACTGGGTTACAGCCTGAGTCCTGTGTCCTGTGCCCATACTGGGATCTTAGCTGCCCACAAAAGTCAGAGGATACCACGGGAAAGTCCCACATAGACAATTGCTCTTGAAAATGCAGCAAACCTGACTCTCAGGGTCACTGGCAAAGGTGGCTGGAGCCGCACCCTCTCCGGGCACTTGCCTGTCTCACGTAGACATCTAAGTTCAAATCCCAGCTAGCATCTGCTGGGAAGCTTCTGGAAATAGGAGGCTCCCTACATTTTTTGATATAGTCTGAGCTGCTAGTTAATGGAGCCAATATCCCCGTTTCTGGGCTAAAGAAAGCTACAAGGTAAAGAAATGGGCTATGAAGACAGATTTTTCTCTGGATCCCTCTCTAGCATCTACCCAACCATGTGACCTAAGTCATGATGGCCTTTTTGGGTGTCACTTTCCTCCCCTGTTCTCCCCCACCCTGCAGAGCTGCTGGGGCTTGGAGCAGAGCAGGTGTGTAAGATACCTAAACAGGTATGAGTACACCACATGTGTCTCCGGCATTGTCACTCAATGATGTGACCTGCAGCCACTGGGAAGGTCCCACTCTTGCTGATGACCCTGGAGCTGGGAGTGAAGACACAGGGTGGAGCCACGGGGCGCAGGGGCTGGAGGTAAGATCGCAGGGATCTCCCCTGCTTGCTGGACTGCTTGGCCCAGCACTGTACAAGGGCTACAGAAGGGGGTAGATCCATTCCAGGAAAGAGTCCTGCACCCCTTCCCCTCTCCACCCAGCCAGCAAGCCCTTCTTCCTGGGCACGGGTGGAAGGTGGGGAAAGCTGGGTAGGGAAAAGTGGGAACCAACGTGCCCTGTGGGGAATACCTGCCACTGGGACCTCTGGCTACGTGTGCGCCTGGTGGTTCACTAGGGGCTAACCTGGTCCCTTGGATTTAATCCTCACAAAAGCTTGCAGACAGAGGGGCTGTGAGCCCTGCTTTGTAGACATGGAGGTTGGGGCTCAGAGAGACTAAGGAACGTGCCCCAAACCACATTACCAGGATTTCTACCCTGCCTGGTCTCTGGGCCTGTATTGGATTTCACTCTTCCCAAAGACCTGGACGCTACTTAATGTTAATCCTTGGGTTGGGGGAGGCAGACAGGGGCTTTGGTTTGGTTTGATTTGGTTTGGCTGTGCCGGTCCTGGGGCTTGAATTCAGGGTCTGGGTGTTGTCCCTGAGTTTCCCCCACCCCACCCACCAAGGCTGGCGCTCTACCACATGAGCCACAGCTCTACTTCCAGCTTTTTGGTAGTTAATTGGAGATCAGGCTCACGGACTTTCCTGCCTGGGCTGGTTTCCACCCCTGATCCTCAGATCGCGGCCTCCGGAGTAGCTGGGATTACAGGCGTGCGCCACCACGCCTGGCTGGAGAGGGTTTTTAACTATTATTTTTAAAAATGACTTTTTCTCCTGAAAGCGCTGCCATTGCGTGCGCGACCGGCCTCTGGCTGAGCCCCCGCAGGAGCGCGCCCGCCCTCACCCCGGGGTGCCTGGAGAGGGTCGCGCGTGCGTGCAACCGCGGGTGTGCAGGTGGGCTGCCCGGCTCCCGTGCGTCCTCCCCGGGGTCCCGCGGCGGCCCGGGCCCCGTGTCTGTGCGCGTGGCGGCCGAGTCCACGTGGGGACCGCGGGCGCGGGGCCGCGCCGCCCCCCAGGTGCGGGCGGAGGGCGCGCGAGCGTGCGCACGTGCGGCGGCGGCAGTGCGGGCTCGGCGCCCCCCCACTCGCCCTCAGGCTCGCCGCTGATTGGCTGGGCGCCGTGACGGGCCGGCCCCCGCCCGGGGCGGCGGCGGCGGGCGCGGGTGCCCGCGCGTGGCTGTGTGCCGCGTGTGCGCCGGGGTGTGCGCCCGCCGCCGCCGCCCGGCCGGCCGGGGTGCGGGAGACGAGGGAGCGCGCCACGCGCGGCCGCCGCGGCCGAGCCCGAGGGTGCGCGGCGCCCGCCCGGCCATGGCCCCCGCCCGGGGCCGCCTGCCCCCCGCGCTCTGGGTCGTCACGGCCGCGGCGGCGGCGGCCACCTGCGTGTCCGCGGCGCGCGGCGAAGGTGAGCGGCGGCGGGGGTCCGGGCGCGGCGGGGGTCCGGGCGCGGCGGGGGTCCGGGCGCGGCGGGGGTCCGGGCGCGGCGGGGGTCCGGGCGCGGCGGGGGTCCGGGCGCGGCGGGGACGGCCCGGGGCGGAGGGGGGGCGGCGCCCCGGGCGCCACGCGCTGCCTGCGGCTCAACTTCCCCGGCCCCGACCCTGAGGAGCTCCAGAGCCCGCGAGCCCGGGGCTGCGAGGCCGGGAGGCACCGAGGCAGAGACGTGGGTTAAGGGACCCGCGGGACGGAGGCTGGAGGGCAGGGGGACGGGGACACGGAGCCAGGACTGGACCGGAGACCAGCCGAGAGGCACGGAGCGGAGAGGGGACAGAGACGGGGCAGGGGACAGGACCGGACCGAGCGGCAGGCACTCGGGGACAGAGGGACACCAGAAGGAGGGACAGGTTCAGATCGCTGAAGGAAAGGGGGCTGCAGATGGCGTTGAGAGACAGGGCCACGAACTGAGAGGAGCGGCCAGCAGGGAAGAGGACCCGGCTTGCGTGGCGGGTAGGGGGACACCCAGGAATGAGGGGTGCCCTGGGAGCGGGGTGAGGGCGTGGGGGGAGAGTACCAGCTGGAGGAGAGGCGGCTTTGGTGGACAGGAGGAGTGGCTTCGGAGGAGGGCAGGGGCTGGAGAAACTGAGACTGGCCTCGGGTCAAAACCGAGTGACCCAGTCACTCCTGCCACGGGGGCAGGAGTGGGGGGGGGGTGGACTGAGTGTTCTGGAGCAGAAGGATCTGGGAGGTAGACTTCTGGGGAGTGGGATAAGGGAGAGCTGAGAGGGGCCCTGGGACTCCCCACCCCCTAAACACTGTAGGTCTACTTGATGATGACACTGGGCTCTGCTTCCCATGCCCCAGACCCTGGCCTGCACCGCCTGTGCTTGGAGGCACTGGCCCAGGATGCTGGGGCTGGGGCTGTATGCAGGAGAGGGAGCCGCTGTGGGGAGGCAGAGCTCACACCCCCCCCCCCCACACACACACACTCAGGCAGCCTACCCACGGACACACACACTCATCCGGCTCACCTCTGTCAGCAGACACAGGCCAGTGAGACTCCGGGCACAGAGAGGCCCCCCTCCCCTATACACAGCCATGCAACAGTGTGCCCACACATGCACATGAAATACACACGTGACATCCATGCATGCATGTGTGTCACAGCACCCTCAAACTTGCTCACAGAAATGTATCCCAGTTCCCCAGGAAACCCTGGGGCAGCAGGGAACCGGGGCCATGGCAGGGAGAGGTGGGATGGCAGGCAGGCAGGCAGAGCAGGGCTGGCCGTGTGAGCAGCGATGAGGTTAGATTTTGAGGACACCAAGAGAGGGTCATATAGGAAGAGCTCAGGGTTGTGGCACAAGAGGCCTGAGGCTCTTGGGGCTTGGCCAGAGAGGACAGTTTTCCAGGTTTGGGAAGGGTTGGTTGGTTTCTTGATGGCTCAAAAGGAGTCCCTCAGCAAAGCCCTGGGAGTCAGGGTGCCTTACTTCACCCTCTTTGAGGGTGGGGGGCATTCTTTATAGAGTCACAGGCTGTGAAGCCAGCATCTTTGGGGAGGGCATTTTCCCAGCTCTCATCTGAGGACAGGCTAGAGCTCGGGCCAGGGACGTGGGCAGCAGAAGGGAAGGCTAGAGTCTGGGTAGAGCAGCCCGGGGCCAGCATGTGATCAGTGCAGCAGAGCGCCCAGCTGGGCAGGGTTTCCCCATGCAGGTCAGCCAGCCACAGGATGCAAATCCCAGGGTACGCTCGGGGCTCCAGCAGCCCTTTCTAGCGCCACCCCTGATAGTGCAGGACAGAGGGAAGAGGCTGTGGGGTCCAGTAGAGATGACTGCACCCAGCATAGCCACCACCGTTACCCTCAGTGAATAAGCTGTGGGCTGGGCCAGACCCTACAGCCCCCCAAACCTCCGCTAGGCTTATGGCCCCTTGTTGACTTCTGGGGGTGAATTATCCTCCACTTTGGATTGGTCTTCAGGGCATTCGCATCCCGGCTGATACCCCTTGACCACCCCGGATTCTCCAGCCTCACCACCATGCATTGTGTCCTAGGGGAATGTAAATCAATTTAAGTATTAGTCTCAGTGAAATGGAATGGGGAAGGTGACAGTGCTGGAGAAAGAAAGGAATCGGATAATGCCTTCCACAGTCAAGTGGGAGAGGCCGAGGAATTATCTGTGCCGCTTAGAGCAGGAGGGACCCATTCGGTTCCCCCAACCAGCCCGGGCAGCAGGCCTAGGAGGGCTGCCTGTGGACATCTGTCAGATCAAGAAACTGAGGCCCGGAGGTATTCTGGGATGTGCTGCATTGACAGCCCCCAGAGAGCACGGAGTCCAGGCCTCTCTTTGTGAGTAGGGAGACAGAGACGGGCCCAGAGCCGGCAGGTGACTCCATCTCTGGCAGGTAAGAGGCAGGGGAGTGGCCAGCTGCAGTGTCCAGGCCTAACTATCCTCGGGGACTCAGGGCCCTGCCAGGCAGGCCTACTGCGGGAATCCCATCTGGCCCTGATCAACTCTCACCAGCCTGGGGCTTCCCTTGAGAGGTGGGGATGATTCAGAGGGAGAGAAAGGGAGGAGAGGAGGAGAGGGACAGAGAAGGATCTAGAAAGTATTGCCAACAAACGGCTCAGGAACCCTATAGCCCTTCCTGCACCCTGTAGGATTGACTTTTGACCTAAGTGTGGATTATCTGAGCCCCCGGACTGGCTGATAGTCACCCCCAAATGTTCTAGGGCTTTCCACAAGAGGGAAGAGCCCAGAAGGTGGCCCTGAAGTCAGGGTATCCCCCCCTCCGGCCACTGGGGACAATCCTGGGCAGTGGACATTCATAAGGGTAGGGGCAAGTCTGAGCTAAGCCCATTCTGTGCCAGGAGAAGGGGCCTAAGCCCCACATCTGGGATTGGGGTTAGGGTGAGGGCAGCCCACCTGTGTCCTTTCCCTACCCTCTCTGCCAACGGGTCCCCTGCTGGTCTGGGGGAAACTGCAGTGCGGCCCCCTCCCCCCTCCCACCAGCCAGCAGAAGGAGAGAGCTTGCCTGACCCAGTTTTCTCTCCATTGCCTGAAAGGGAGGGAGGGAAGCAGGAAGCCTTCTCTGCCTGTGCCCCTGGCGTGGGGCTGGCTCAGGGAGGGGATCCCTCGATGGGCATTTGCTCCATCCTCTGACCCTACCCCAACCCTGAGCACAGAAGCTCCTTCCCTGGTCTGCAGACCTTCTCCAGCTGGTATGGGGAGGGGGCTGACTACAGCGGGGACGGGGGAAGCAAGAAGGAAATCAGCAAACAGGAGCGCCCTCGCGTCACGGTTCCTGAGGACACTTGTCTCCATCTTGAGGGCCAGCCTCTGAGCTATGCCAATCTCAGGCAGAAAGATGTCCCGCCTCCCCAAGGGACAATTCTAAGAAGGTCCAGCTGTCACCTCTGTGACAGGCCTGTGGTCTGGGGTAGTTGGAAGGAAACTGTGAGCCCTCTCATCCAGTTGCCACCAGACAGATGAAGAGGAAGCAGGGCTGTGAGAGGTGGAGGTACTTCCCCAGGCACACATAGCAATGGAGATGGCTGGGATGGGAGCACTGACTCCCGAACAGCTCAGTGTACCTCTGCATCAGTGACAGGGAGAGGCCGGAGGCCAGGACTTAATGCAGCATAGGTTAAGAGCTAGCTCTGGGCCAGGCTCTAGTCCTAGTGGTTACTCCAGGCTTCTTAACCCTTATCCACAGTCTTCCGTGTTACCAACCCGTTTCACAGCTGAGCAAGAAAGATCACTTGCTAACAAGTGGCTGTGTTGAGAGACCTGGATGTCTCAGCCCAAGCATGGGTTCTTTACCTCGTCATTGAAGCCATGCAGGGTTCCCTGGGGCGCAGGGCATGACCTGGCATGGACTTGCTTTGCTGGCCACACCTTGAGGTTCTGGACAAGTTCCCAAACTTCTCAGAGGCTTGCACCTTCCACCCTAAAACAGAAGCAATAGCGACCGCCAGGGGCTCTATTGAGAGTCACAGGAGGCCCCTGACAGAGTCCAGCACACAGCAGGTTTACACTAGGCAGGTTTACACTAAATCCCTCATCTAAAGGGCCAGCAGTGCCAAGCAGCCTCTTGGGAGGCAGGGAGACCCATAAACTAGGCCTGTCTGGGCAGTAAGACGTCCCAGCATGAATGTGACTGTCAGGTCCCCAAGGTGAGTCGAGGGGCAGGCCATCTTCCCAAAGCCACCACGGTCCCCATTCTCTGGAGGAAACTGAGGCTCCCAGAGGGGAAGGTGACACACTCTGAACTGCATGAGCCACTGGGGAGACTGGACACCCAAGTCAGGGGTCATGGCAGGAGCCTGACACCCTCCTTCTCGTTTTCACAGTGAATTTGCTGGACACATCGACCATCCACGGGGACTGGGGCTGGCTCACATACCCAGCTCACGGGGTAAGTGCTGGAGCAGCGTTATCCTCTGTGAACCATGAGGCGGGTTCAAGTCTTAGCACCAGAAAGATCAAAAGGAAGCAGGAGCCCAGAGAAGTGAAGGAATTTACCCGGGACACGCAGCAGTGGGGGACATGATGCCCACATGGAGCCCAAATGCTACCTTAAAAATGCAGGTGAAAGCCAGGCCCTGGTGGCTCACACCTGTAATCCTAGCCGTGCAGGAGGCTGCAATCGGAGAATCACAGTTTGAAGCCAGCCTGGTTGGAAAGTCCATGAGACTCTTATTTACAATTAACCACCAAAAAAAGTGGGGAGTAGAGGAGTGGCTTAAGTGGTAGAGTGCTAGCCTTGAGCAAAAGAGCTTAAGGAAAGCTCCCAGGCCCTAAGTCCAAGCCCCAGGACCTACACACATACACATAAAAATGCAGTCCTTCCTCACGGCCATGGCAGGAGATGATCCTGCTGTGTCTGCGGAGCCCAGGAAAAACTTTGTCCTGGAGCCTGGGACTGGCCCAGAGAGAAACAAAGAGGAACACGAGGCCCAGGGTCCCTGGCCTGAGCCCTGGAGAGGCTGGTATATGGAGACTGCAGCTCCTGCTTCCTGAGTGATCTCCTGCCTAGCAGGAAGGGGAGCCTTTGGAGATGGTTCTTGAAGTTCTGCCACCCTCTGCTTCTGGAGTCTCCCAGCCACCTGCACAGCAAGCCTGTCCCAAGCTATCTTCACCATCAGAAAAGCTACCTAGTTGCCAGGCAGTGTGCAACCTTAAGGGTGAGGATGCTCAGCCTCCTCACCAGTGTGATCCCGGCAGGCCTCACCCCTCCCTCACGATAATATGGGTGGGTGTGCTTGTGCCCTGTGCAGCTGTCTAGCTGTCCAAAGTAGGTGATACAGGACAATGAGCAGCTGGAGGCTAGAGAAGGGAAGCCATTCGGTTAGCCTCTGGTGGAGGACTGGGCCTGCACTGCACAGCTGTAACCAGGCTGCATCCTTTCCTCTGCTCCTGGGAACTCCATCTGCTGGGACACCCTGCACTTTACCTGGTGCCATACATTGGACCCGTGATCTCACTTGAATCTTACCACTCAGGAGTGGCTGGAGGGAGCAGGCAGTAGGGACCCCATTTCAAGCATCAGATGCCCAAGGCTCAGAGAGGGGCTGTGATGGACTCAGTGCTACTGGTCCAGGATCAGAAAAAGTTGGGAGACAGTGTGCCATAGTCAGCTGCCTGAGTTCCGGAGACAGATGAGCGTGGGTGGCACCCAGCATGGAGTGGCCGATCTGCCCTTGTGCCAGACTTCCAGGAATCTGGCTTCTCTAGACTTCTGAGCAGCTCCTGGGCTGGCAGGCCAGGCTAGGGCCTTGGCACTGGTGGAATGGCTGGAGCAGGCTCAGATCAAACTGATTAATTTATCCAGGCCCCTGGCAGGAAACAGACAGGGAGCAGCTGGCAGGTTCTTTGGTGTTCCATTAATTGTGACAATGACTTTAACCCCAGATGTGGTGCAGTGCTTCCGAGAGCACCCACTGCAGTGGCTGGGGGGGGGGGCATGGGTCCTTCTTGGGGTGGAAGAAGGATAAATCCTTGGAGGTGAGGCTGTGATCCCCAGAGGCCTTGTAGACAAGGACTCTGCCACTGGCCCTGAAGGCAGTGGGCGGCCTGGGAACATGGGGGCAGACCAGCAGGGTGTCAGTGCCCTATTCTTGCAGCATTCTGAGTTTTATCATTGTATCCTCAGGCCTCGAGCAAATGAGCCTGTATGAGCCCCGTTTCACCGGGGCAGGTGCTGGGGGGTGGATGCCACGCTGGCAAGGACAAGGTCAGACATACAGGTTTGTGTCAGGAAAGGTCTTTGGATGCCCATGGTCCCTATGCTAGCACCTGCGGAACAAGCTCAGAACCCTCAGACTCTCAGAACATCAGGAGCAGTGGTCTTCAGCCCCCCCCCCCTTCAGCAACAGGATCCTTAGTTCAAGGACAAGCATAGGGCATAGAGCCCTATAGTCAAGGCATGGCATCAGTGTCGTGGCCGAATCTGGCCATCTGCCCTCCACCCCAGCTCAACTAGGAGTCCATCTGGACTCGGGCCAGGGTCTGCTCCCTGCTGGCCAGTGGGCCACTGAGGGAGCTGGGGCTTCTCCCTCCCCCTCCCTGCTGTGGTCCCTGCTTCACCCAAGGCCAGGCTGGCCAGGAAACACGCAGACACCACATGCAGGAGGCCTGGGGAGGGGTGCTAGGTGTCTTGTCGCCCTTCCCCCCTCCCCCGGCTGCCTTCAGATGGGTCACCTTCTATATCACCTTGCTGGGTGCATGGAGAACCTCGGGGGATGGGGGCAGGAGATAATTCCAGCACCTTCCTTTCATTTGTGTGTGTGTGTGTGTGTGTGTGTGTGTGTGTGTGTGTGTTGCTGGTGCAGTGCTGGGGTCAGACCCAGGGCTTCTGGCATGCTAGGCAGGCTGAGCTGCAGTCAGTCCTATTCACTGTTACTGTGGTAAAAGGCACAGAACAAAATTTACCATCTTAGCCACTTAAGCGTGCAGTTCAGGGGCGTTATATATATCGCCATTGCTGTACAGCCATCTCCATCCACCGCTAAACTCTATTGCATAAAACTGAAATTCCATACCCATTACGGTTGCTCCCCATCCCTCCTCTCCCATCCCTCGGCAACCTCCCCTCGACTTTCTGCTTCTATGAATCTCACGTATTTGGGTACTTTTTTCTATATGTGGAACTATAGCTCCACTTGTCCTTTTGTTTCTAGTTTATCTTGTTCGGCATAAGGTCTTCAAGGCTCATCCATGTTAAAGATTAGAAGGTCATTCCTTTTCTTTTTGGTTGGTCGTGGGGCTTGAATTCTGGGTCTGGGCACTGTCTGTCAGCTCTTCAGCTCAAGGCAAGAGCTTTACCACTTGAGCCACAGTGCCACTTCGTTTTCTGGTAGTTTATTGGAGATAAGAGTCTCACAGACTTTCCTGGGCTGGCTTTGAACCGCAGTCCTCAGGTCTCAGCCTCCTGAGTATCTAGGATTACGGGTGTGAGCCACCAGTGCCCGGCTGGTCATTCCTTTTTTAAAAAAAAAAAAAAAAAGACTGAATAATATGCTATTGAATGTAAATTGACATTTTGGTATGTGCATTCACTTGTGTTACTTCCACATTTTGGCTATCATGGGACTTTCCTTTGTTTGCCGTGCTGGAGTCAGACCCGGAGCCCCCACGCACACTCACAAGCCCACTGCCATTGTGCTGCATATATCTCTCCCAAACCCTGCTTCCATTTCTCTGGGCATGTGCTCAGAATCGCTGGATCATATGGTAATCCTATTTTTTAATTTTTCTGAGGAAATAGCATACTGGCTCCCATGGTGTCTGGATGTTCTATCTTCTCACTAGCAACAAACACATAGGCGCACATCCTTACCCACACCTATTTTCTGTTTGGGGCTTAGAAAAAAAAAATATGAGTATGAAGTAGTGTCTAATTGTGGTTTTGATTTCTATTTCCCCGTGGTCAGTGAAGTTGAGTGCCTCTGATGGTCTATTTGGCCATCTGGGTATCTTCTTTAGAAAGATGTCTATCTAGGTCCTGAACTCATTTTGTTAATTAGGCCATTTGTTTTCTGTTGTTGAGCTGAAAGAGTTCTTTATATGTTCTAGATATGAATTCCTTACCGTTGGCAATGATAAGAGATTGGCAGTCCTCTCCTGCTTTGTGAGCTCAGTGGAGAGTGCCTGGGTTTTTTGTTTTGTTTTGTTTTTTCTGAATCACTCTGACCAAGTCAAGGCATCTTGGGACTCACCTAAGTGGAGGCCCTGGGCTAGAAGCTCCTAGCTTTGGGTGGGGGCAAAGACCCTCTAAAACACCGGGACTGAGTCATACATCAGCCAGTCACTCAGCAAGTACCAGTGTAGGACTTGAGGTGGGGGCACAATGCAGTGTTCTGTGCAGAGGAGAGGACCCCTCTAGAGCAGACTGGAAGCTGCTGGAGCAAGTCCCCGCTCTCTGCAAGGATGAGCAAAGCGGTACAAAGACGGACAGAGCCAGCGCCGTCTGTCACTCTAACCCTGTGACCCCGGACCTGTGGCGTCTGAGCGCCTAAGTCTGTTTCCTCACTGTTGTAAGTCAATAAGCAGGCCTTCCTGGAGGAACGGTAGCTGGCAGATAGCTCTGGGTGCCTGGCTGGGCAGCAGGGGCCGTCCATCAGAGGTGGCTCAGGCGTCTGTCTTCTCCCCAGGACTCCTGGGCCAGGGCTGTCGTGTGGCCCGGTGGTGGCCGGGGGGGGGGGGGGGGGGGGGGTTGACACGCACCAGAGGGTGCCATCCACCTCCGATTAACCGGCTGCTTTCCATGCGCTCGCAGTGGGACTCCATCAACGAGGTGGACGAGTCCTTCCGGCCCATCCACACGTACCAGGTGTGCAACGTCATGAGCCCCAACCAGAACAACTGGCTGCGGACGAGCTGGGTGCCCCGCGACGGCGCCCGGCGCGTGTACGCGGAGATCAAGTTCACCCTGCGGGACTGCAACAGCATGCCGGGCGTGCTGGGCACCTGCAAGGAGACCTTCAACCTCTACTACCTGGAGTCGGACCGCGACCTGGGCGCCAGCACGCAGGAGAGCCAGTTCCTCAAGATCGACACCATCGCGGCCGACGAGAGCTTCACGGGCGCCGACCTGGGCGTGCGGCGCCTCAAGCTCAACACCGAGGTGCGCGGCGTGGGGCCGCTCGGCAAGCGCGGCTTCTACCTGGCCTTCCAGGACATCGGCGCCTGCCTCGCCATCCTCTCCCTGCGGATCTACTACAAGAAGTGCCCCGCCATGGTGCGGAACTTGGCGGCCTTCTCGGAGGCGGTGACCGGGGCAGACTCGTCCTCGCTCGTGGAGGTGCGGGGCCAGTGCGTGCGGCACTCGGAGGAGCGGGACACGCCCAAGATGTACTGCAGCGCCGAGGGCGAGTGGCTGGTGCCCATCGGCAAGTGCGTGTGCAGCGCGGGCTTCGAGGAGCGGCGGGATGCCTGTGTGGGTGAGCGCGCCTCGTGGGCCTGGGCGGGGCTTCCTTGACGGGGCGGGGCCTGGGCGGGGCTGCCCATTGGCTGCGGGAAGGGGAATGGGCGGGACCACTGGGTGTGGGGCGGGGGCTGGGCAGAGCTTCCAAGTGACTTGAGGCTTGAGAGAGGGCCTAGGGGGCAGCCGATTGGTAGGGGGAGAGAAGTGGGCGGGACCTGTGGGTGATGGAGCAGGGGGCTGCTGGTTGGCTAGGAAAAGGGAAGCGGGCGGGACCACTGTGTTAGGGGCGGGGCCTGGGCAGAGCTGTCATCGTTCTGGGCGAGGCTGCGGGTGCGTGGGATATCTCTGTGGCACACATTACACCTGGGAGGAGGGAGGACAGAAGACCTTGGAGGAGGCTTCAGTGTTGGCACCTGCGTGTGAGCCAGGAAGGAGACAGGGACAGGCAGGTGGGGCCCTCAGTGGACTGGATATGTTTTTTTTTTCAGGCAGGGGCACAGGGAAATGCTCACAGGTTATCTTACATACCTAAGCCAGGGAACGATACCACAAGCTAACTCAGGCCAGATTTTGTTGTAAGCACTTTGTTGTAAGCATGTCTGAGTTAACGGAACATATGCACGTGTCAGATGTTGTAAGTATGTATGAACCAACTGAATCCTCACCGCCCCCCTGTGAAATAGGAACTGTTATTCCGGTTTTATAGATAGAGAGACTGAAGCACAGAGGAGGTGAAACGACTTGTCCAAGGTCACACAGCTGGCAAGTGGCAAAGCCAGACTCTGTGCCTCCCGAGAGTCTGTGTCAGAAACCACTAAACCTCTAACCTATCAACTAGGGGGAGAGTGAAGGAAGTGGACCTCAAGTGAAGGAATGCATTGGAGCGGGAGAGATGTGCAGAAAAGGGCACTGTTCAAGCTAGACCCAGGCTGCCTGTTTTCTAGGAGCAAGTTGTCCAGGGAGAGAAGAGCAAGGTCCTGTAGAGGACAGTTGAGCCCCACGGTGCTCTAAAACTGGGTCAAGTGTGTACTGGGGAATCCAGATCCCAGGCTGTGTGTTTGTGTGTATGGTCAGCTGACACCTGTGGCCCCCGTGGGGACATGTGGGCAGACATCCTGAGAGCTCTGTGGGCAGACAGCTGGTACCCAGCTGGTACTGGGCTTGGCTGGCGTTCCTCGGCTCTCCCTGGTCCTCAGGGGTTGGACGCTTATCATGCAGCCTCCAGGACACAGCTAAGCCTGACTGTTGAGACCAATGTTGTCCCCTACCCTCCGGGTGCTGAGGTGCTCACAAGGGGATGTCCCTTTGCATGGATGAGAGTCACTAGAGCTGTCCCTAGCCTCCCCCTGTGAAAACCGGGACTGGGCCCTGTCAGCCACTAGAATCGCCTGCAGCAATGGGGAGCCATGGTCAGGGGCCAGGACCCACTGACCCCCTCAGCACCTCTCCCTCTGCCCCACAGGCAGCAAAGTCCTAACAGGTCCCGGGTTGCTGATAGGACTGAGTAGAGTGTACCAGAGGGCGCAGGCTGGCGACTTCATGTGACCCAGGGACAGTCCTGAGTCCATCCGGTTTCAGCTCTGGTATGATCAGAAATCCCTGGCACTGAGCCCTCCTCCAGCCTTCCAGCCCTTCTGTGGAGGCTCTCTGCCTTACTTATGTCCCCAAATGCCATGTGTTGTCACCTGTCCTGGGCTCTAAGCCTCAAAGCACCTTCTGTGGCATTGTCTGTGTCTGCTTTGTTCTTTGCTCTGTGGTGTCCAGGCTCCCTCCCCGCCCAACTTGGTTCCCATGGCAGACATCAGTGCTGCTGGCTTAGCACTCCCACAGCCTCCCTGCTGTCCTTGCAGCTGACAAGGACACGCCCCGCAGTGCTCATGAGCCCAGAGTGGCAAGGCAGGTATTCTGTGTCCATCTGCAGTCAGGGAAACAGAGGCACTGGAGGTCCTGCCACTTGCTCAGTCCTCACTGATGGGAAGGGGTGGAGCTTGGAGCTGAAGTCAGGCCTGTACTTGTTCTGACCAAATGGAGGCTTTATTTCTGAAACGCAGGGCCTGGTGCTCACTCAGCTTTCTTATTCATGCTGGTACTTGACTACTTGAGCCAAGCCTTCAAGCCTGTCTTTTTGCTGGTTAATTGGAGATGGTGTCTTTGGATTTTTCTTCTGAGACTGTCTTCAAATCTTGATTCTCAGATTTCACAGGCTGGGAATGTGGTTTAGTGGTAGAGTGCTTGCCTAGCATGCATAAAGCCCTGGTTTTGATTCCTCAGTACCACGTAAACAGAAAGAGCCAGAAGTGGAGCAGTGGCTCAAGTGGTAGAGTGCTAGCCTTGAGCAAAAGAAGCTCAGGCTCTGAGTTCAAGCTCCAGGACTAACAAAAAGGAAAAACAAATCAGATCTCAGTTTCCTTATTAGCTAGGATTTACAGGCATGAGCCACAGGTGGGGGCTTTTAACCTTGTCTCCACCGCCCCTCCCTAGCAGCTCTTTCCTACAGAGCTTTGTGACATGTTCTGGGGTGCTTGCCACGTGCAACGTGTGCATAAACGCTCGTAGATGTTAGGTCAGGCCTTCTGCTGAGCACTGAGTGTTCCAGACCGCAGGGGCCTGGGCAGGGAGAACCCGCCTTTGGGAGTCCATGAGTTTGCCATCCTCAGCACAGGCCTCTCAGTGAGGTACTATATCCCCAGTTCACAGATGAGACAAACGGAGGCCCCTGAGTATTAAGTGGCAGAGTTGGGACCTGATCCCACACTAGCATGCTCCAGAGCCCAGGACTCTTCAAAATGTCCACAGAGTCCTCTTCAGAGCCCACTGCCTTTCTGCTGGCATCACAGTCAGGTAGCTAGTGACAGGCCCAGCACAGCCCATGAGGACCAGGCAGGCAGGCTGGCTGGTGCTCACCTGCTCGGGTCAGCTCTGGCTCCCGGCTCTGGATGTCACCAGCAAGTATGAAAATGAGGTCTCCTATCCCTCATGTGTGCTACAACATGCTGGCCCATGGGAAGGACGTGGAGGTGGAAGATGGAGCCCAGAGGACTGGATCTTGCCCCAGGCTCCACAGCATGTCAGGACTCTCGGAGGGAACTTTGGGGCCTACACAGCAGGGCCTCCCTCGGCCCAGAGAGGCCACAGCTAGACCTATTGCCATTAAAAATAATAATAAATGCCAAAGCCAGGTTAGGGAATTGCAGCGTAATTTTCAGTTTCACATTTAAATCATAATGCCACGTAATTATGCTAGATGCAGGATAATTACAGGTTTTATAAAAATATTAATTCCTAGTGCGCTGCAGGCAGGGAGATTTGGGAATCGATGCCTGTTTGAAGTCCCATGACGGGGAGACATTGCCCGGCCCTGCTCCTGGGCTTCTGTGACTGTCAGCCTGCCACGGCTGGCTTCCGTGGGAAGGAGCAGCACAGGTCCCCAGTGAGGCCCCGCCCTGCAGCCCTGCCCATGTGACCAGCCCTGACTCACAGAAAGTTCTGGTCCATCCTACAGCCTCAGCACCTCCTCCCCAGGCAGCCTGAGGGGGCAATCGGGCCCAGCAGGAGCGGGGAGCTGCCTGGTACCCCTTTTGGCCACTTTATTGTCCTCCATACCGCTCCAGTCAGTTCCTGGGAACCTCCCAAGCCCCCAGAGCCCCTGGCCGGTGCCAGGCCCCTGTTTCTTGATGGGGGATTCTGTGGGCAAACTGCAGAAAAGAGCCTGGCTCGTTGGGGCCCTGAGCCCCTTCCTGCAGTGCTGGGAGAAGGGTCAGGAGTCCAGGACCTACGGTAGCGGGGCACCATGCAGCACGGCCTCCTTCCACCTGGGCTCCTGTCTTGTCTCACTATTCCCCCCTAGAACCGCCCCCCAAAAGGTGATGGACAGCTCTGGACTTCAGGAGGGGAGCAGGAGGGAACAGCAAAGTCCCTGGGGGAAAAGGGCCCTGCCAGGTCACATGGCTCTTTAGAGGCCTTGTTAAGACTGCACTGGGCCTCAGAGCACAAACCATGGAGAACTGGTCCAGCTTACCTGTGGGAGATGGAGGACCAGAGAGGTGATGTGACTAGCCCTGGGACACACAGTAAAGAGTGGTAGATGGAATCTCAAATCTCTAGCTCCCCAAGCCATCCAGTTCCTGACCCAGTGACCTCAGGGACAGACAGTGGCTGCTCTCCTCCCCTCCCCCGAGTCCTGGGGAGGGGGAGGGGCCATCCACAAAGAGACAGCTGATGTCCCAACCACCGTCCTTCCTGTCACCTGGACGCAGAATATAAATCACCCTCTGCGGCCCTAATCATCTTTCTATAAATATCAGAGCCTCATTTCAGAGGGGGAGCAGGCACAATGAGCTCTTTTGCCTTCCTGACTGTGTTTAAAATCTGATTTAGAATTAATTTCCTTTGCTCGTCCACCAGCAGACACCTTATTTGTCAAATCTGCAGCTCTTCACAGGGGGGACAGAGAGGTGGCCAGGGCCACAGGCAGCTGCCAGCCGGCCAGGCGGCCTGGGCAAGGTGCCCTCGTTATGGGCAGCAGCCCCTCCTGGCCCCTGGCCCCAATTCACAGGCTCCGGAAGCACCCTGGGTGTCCGGGCAGGGCCAGGCCCCAGCCCAGAGCATCTCCATCTGTCTGAGCCACTAATTCCCAGCCCAGCTTCCAGGTCTGCGGCTCCCTGAGGCCTAGTGATTAGTATTCTTATTAAAGATTATTTTATTTTCATTGTGGGGATTAATCTGGCCTTGACACGTTATAGCCGTGTGGGTATTAGCCAATGTGTGGGAACTGCTGAGTGATGCGATCTCTCAGCCCAGGGGTGGTGTGCACAGTGGAAGAGTGAGCGCTTTCAGCTAGGACCTGGGGCAGGGCACGGCAGCTCCCTGGGCCCATTTCCTTTCTGTCAGGCAGTTGAGCAGGGCTGTGGTTGAATGATGGAAGCCCTGGGCTCCATCCCCAGTGCTGCCAAAGCAAACCCAGTGGTGTTGGCTGCTGACACCATCATCCATGTCAGACACTGGCCTGAGCTTCCGTCTTCATGCATGTGGCCTACAAGGCCAGTTGCTGCCAGGACCCCACTCTACAGATGAGGAAGCCGGGGTCCCATAGCGTGGCCATACGTGGCTCTGGAGATGGGGTAAGGAAGGAAAAGGGAGCGGGCAGCCCGCCCACTGCTTCACCATGCTCAGGTGGACATCACCTGGCTTGCTCGCTTGTCCCTGTGTGCTCTGACAGCTCCCCGACAGCAGGTCCACTGCTCTGGATCCTGGTGCCTGGAAGAGGCGGCATGGATGTGGGCACAGGGGTCAGCAGGGCCGGGGAATGTGCAGGGGCACCGGGGGTCTGTTGCTCACAGTGGCTTTGCTGGCGTCCAGCTCAACCACAAGGTGCTGGGGTGTGTGTCAAGCCTCTGCTGAGGTGCCACCCCCAACAGCTCCCAGTACTGAAGCCTCTGGCCAGCTGTGCCCCCAGGACTGGCCCTGGGGGTGGGGCGGGGGAGGAGGACTGCTGGGAAGAGGAGGGGCAATCTGTATGCACCAGGAGCCCAAGCCTGCAGCCCAGCTGCCAGTCAGGCCTGAGCCCTAGGGGTGCTTTGAAATGGAGTCCTGCCTCAACACAGGGCTGTATTGTCTGCATGATGCCACTGCCAAGCCCCTCCCTGCTCCGCAGCTCTGGTCTTTGCAGCTACTCAGGGCTTGTCATTTTTCTGATTCTAGGTTTTCTCTTAAATCTGCAGAATTTTAGTTTTAGCTAAACAGATATGCAATGCTCTGAAATGATCCCTTTTTCTTTTTCTTTTTTCTTTTGTTTCTTTCTTTTTTTTCTGTTGGTTGTGGGGGGCTGAACTCTGGGCCTGGGAGCTTCCCCTCAGCTCTTCAGCTCAAGGCTAGTGCCCTACCACTTGAACCACAGCACCACTTCCAGCTTTTTTCTGCTTATGTTATGCTGAGGAATCAACCCCAGGGCCTCATGCATGGGAGGCAAGCGCTCTACCACTGAGCCACCTTTAAAAAAAAAAAATCTAAAATAGACGCCAGTCTTAAGGCTTGAACTCAAGGCCTCTGTCCTGCCCATGAGATTTTTTTTTTTTTTTTTGCTCCACTTATGCCACAGCTCTAACTTCTAGATGTTTGGTGATCAACTGGAAACAAGAATCTCATAGACTGTTTTGCCCAGGCTGGCTTCCAACTGCAATCCTCAGATCTCAGCCTCCTGGGTAGCAAGGATTATGGACATGAGTCACAGGTGTCGGGCTAAAACTGTCTTGAACACTGTCTTTTCCAGAAGGGTGCTTAGTCCTAGTGAGCCCTTTGGTTGTCCACATGGCACAGGATTTAGTGCCAAGGAGGCAAGTGGACCTGCCTGGCGATGTGACATTGGGTCCACCTGAACCCCTGGGGCTTCTCTCTGGCCACAGCAAACACTGTGGGAGCAACTCATTTTGGAAACTTCCCAGGGTTGCCTGGGCCAGCTCTGAGTCCAGTGCCAGGGACTTTGAGTTGAATAAACCCTCTTCTTACCAACCATCTGTCCACAAGGACTGAGCTGCCCCATCCAGGAGGAGACAAATACAAAGATAAACACATATATCCAGAGTCCCTGGTGAGTCTCAGGAGTGTGTGTGTGTGTGTGTGTGTGTGTGTGTGTGTGTGAGAGAGAGAGAGAGAGAGAGAGAGAGAGAGAGAGAGAAAGAGTGAGAGAGAGAGAGAGAGAACTGCAATGAACAATTGAAACAAACCATAGGAGCTCAACAGGTGGGCTTAGTGAAAAAGGCATCCAAGAAGAAAGCATGGCATGTGCAAAGGTCCTGAGGGTGGAAACAGCCTAACCACTCTGGAGAATGGCCAGAGGTTTAGTTTGGTCCAAGGGTGAGAAGTGAAAGAGGCTACAGGTAGGTTCTAATGTAGCGGGGAGTGCTTTTTTTTCTTCAGTCATTTGTGGGGCTTGAACTCAGGGCCTAGGCACAATTCCTGAGTTCATTGTGCTCGAGGCTAGTGCTCTACCACTTTGAGCCACAGCCCCACTTCCAGTTTTTGAGCGGATAGTTGGAGATGAGAGTCTCACGGGGACTTTCCTGCCTGGGCTGTCTTCGAATCACAATTCTCAGATCTCAGCTTCCTGAGTAGCAAGGATTATAGGCGTGAGCCACTGGCGCTGGGCAGCAGGGAGGATTTTGGATGCCAGGTTCTCTAGTTCAGTGCTGGGAAGCCTCTGGAAGAAGGGTTGGATGGGCAGTGAACCCCATGAGGTGCCCATTTCCTGGAATATTTGCACTCTCTTCATGGCTGACTTGTTCTTAACCTTCAGGCTATAGCTCCCGCTTCTCCTGCTCCTTGGACAGGCAGCCTCTGCAGTGTTCACTGCTCCTCCCTTGGGCTCCTGTTTCCTACCTGGACACAAGCCCCATTTGCTGTGCGCCTCCTGACGTGACTGCTCCTGGAGGCCCCCCCCGCCCCCCCCCCCCCCCCCCCGCATGTGAGGCTATGCCTAGCTCAGGGCTCTGCTTCTAAGCAGTGATTGAGTGAGTAAGTGACTTCACAGGCAGTCGGCGTGAGTGCGGGCAGGGCTGGAGGCCCACATTATCCTCCAGGGGAGGAGGGAAGCAGGTGGCAGCTAGGAGACAGGACGGGGCAGCCCACCCTTGCTGGGCCGGTCTGGGAGGGCCCAGCCTGTGTTTCCTGCAGTGGGCTTCCCCGGGGAGCTTGGAAACTCGGCCAGGCGTTGGCTCTTCCACCTCCAGTCTCCAGCAGGACTGGAAATCTGTCTTTACCAGGAGGGCTCCAGGTTTGGGAACCAAAGGCCTTCTGCATGTGTCTCTTTTCTACCCAGCCTCCGCTCCTGTCTTGCTTTTGCATCCCACCCTCCCCCAAGCCATGCCCACGCTGTGGGCCCCTCCTTTCCCTCTGGTCCCCACGGAGGACAGCATCTGAGGCTGAGGAGAGGTGTGGGGAGTTGGAGAGGCTGGAACTCCAGTGTCAGCTCTGCCCCTGACATGCTGTGAGACCCTGTGTAAGCCACAGGCCCTCTCTGTGCTTCTGGAAAGGAGGGTAGCACCTCCTGATGCCGTGGCTCTGCACGGCTGCTCCTGCTGGGAGCTACCAGGAGAGCTGGGGCCAGGAGCACTGTCCCCAGGGCACCCGGGTGGCCGGCTCACCGCAGCTGTCTCTCCCCCACAGCGTGCGAGCTGGGCTTCTACAAGTCAGCTCCCGGAGACCAGCTGTGTGCCCGCTGCCCTCCCCACAGCCACTCCGCAGCCCCGGCTGCCCAGGCCTGCCACTGCGACCTCAGCTACTACCGTGCCGCCCTCGACCCGCCATCCTCGGCCTGCACCCGTGAGTACGCCTGGACCACGCCTCCCTGGGGCCCCACGGGGCTGGGGACTGAGGGACCTCTCCAGACTCCAGCACTGTCCCCAGTCCCTTGCCTTCTCTCGGAGGGGAGGGGGGTTCACCTGTCTGTTCCCTCCCTCAGCCTCTTCTCTCCAGAGGGCATTAGGGGTGGGAGTCAGAGGAGACCCCCCTCCCCCGACTTCCAAGCTGGGCCAGCCTGGGGTGCTGAGTGTCTGGAGCTGCCTCTTAGGGGTGCACCGAGCGCTCTGTCGCTGTGTTCTGGCCATGTGGGTCTGGTAGGCAGCAGGCCATTCCTGCAGAGGACCTGTGTGTAGTGTGTGTGTGGTATTTGTACGCCTGGGTGTGAGGGAGACGTGTGTGCCTGTGCTCTCCCATCTAGAGGATTCTCAGGCATGAGTGAGGCAGGAGCCTGGAGGGGACTCAGTCTTGAACATGCATGTCTTGTGGCTTAGTGTACAGATGCACACCTGGCCCTGCAGGTCAGTGTGTGTCCGGAGAGGCTGTGCTTGCGTGGGGTGGCTTCGTGACACCGTGGCAGTGTGGGCTCCTCGGGCAAGATGAGCAGCCAGACGGCTGTGGCCTCCTGTGTGCAGCTGGGCCGGCCCTGGCTTCTTTCCAAACCACATTCATTAAGCCACTGGGAACAGGAGCCGGCCAAGGGCTCGGCTGTGGTGCGCACACCTTCTGATTTTGCTGTTCCTCGCAGACTGTGATCTGTCTTTCTGAGATCTGCAGGTCTAATTTCTAGGCCCAGAATCCCTTGCCTGGGATTCTGAGACCCCAAGTCCCAAGTGCCCTCCTGTCCTCCCCCAGCCCTGCCCCCTGCAGTGGATCCACCCCAAGGCCACGCCTCCCTCCAGAATCTTCCTGCTGCCCACACTGGGCAGGGCTGGGGGCTGGGGTAGGCAGAGGGGGCGGGGAGGGGGGGCTGCCTGGAGCACACAGCCATGAGCGTGGCAGCCTCGCGACTTCCTCATGCTCCCTCACAGAGGGCTCCGTGTCATTTGGCACAGAGTGCAACACAGGGGCTAAGGGACGGAAGAGGGGTCAGATGGCATGTGAGGGGATGTCGCTGGGCCAGGCCCCGGACACCTCCCATAGGCTCTGGGTGGGAACTCAGAGGCTTAGCCTAGAATCTCCGTGGTCCTGCTTGGCATGGGAGCTGGGGCTCCTATGCGGGAGGCTGATGCTGTACTTCCGGGCCCGGCCCTCCGGGAGCTTCCAGAAGACAGAACAGATGTGGCCTCATCTCCAGCAGCTCCCAGTGTGATGGGGGCATACTTTCCAAGGATGGGGACACTGTACCAGCTCTGCCTGTCACCCTCTGCCCCCAGGACCCCCCTCAGCCCCCGTGAACCTCATCTCCAGCGTGAACGGGACCTCCGTGACCCTGGAGTGGGCCCCTCCCCTGGACCCGGGCGGCCGCAGCGACATCACCTACAACGCCGTGTGCCGCCGCTGTCCCTGGGCCCTGAGCCGCTGTGAGGCGTGTGGCAGTGGCACCCGCTTCGTGCCGCAGCAGACCAGCCTGGCACAGGCCAGCCTCCTGGTGGCCAACCTGCTGGCCCACATGAACTACTCCTTCTGGATCGAGGCCGTCAATGGAGTGTCCCACCTGAGTCCCGAACCACGTCACGCTGCTGTTGTCAACATCACCACGAACCAGGCAGGTAGGCGAGAATCCCCGGCCCCACTCAGAGTGCTGCCTGCCCAGGGACCTGCTGCGGGCTGCAGGCAGTAGTCACTCTCCCTACCATGATCTAGAGCTGGGGCTCTTCCCACCCTTAGAAAAGCGGGACATGGGTGGGCTACAGCGGCTCACGCCTGTCATCCTAGCAACTCAGGAAGCAAAGGTAGGAAGATCAGGGTCCATAGATAGACTTGGATAAAAGGAAGGGAGAGAAGGAGAGAGGGAGGGAGGGAAAGGAAGGAAGAGAGGGAGGGAGGGAAAGGAAGGAAGGAAGGAAGGCAGGCAAGCCAAGCAAGCAAAAAGGACTGAAAGTATGGCTCAAAATGAAAAAGGCTGGAGGTATGGCTTAAGTGCTAGAGCACATGCCTAGCAAGTGTTAGGCCCTGACTCAGAAAACACAGAGCTAGGCTCAGTGGCTGTCATAGGCCTAGTTCCAGAACTTTCTCTCTCTATACTTCTGCTTCCCCCGGTAGGGTGGAAATGCTCACACTTGCCTCTGTGCTTGGGAAGCACAAGGGAGAGCACGCTGCTCAGCCCAGCGCCTGGCCCAGGGCAGCGATTCAGCACACCGCTGTGACGGCCACTTCCCTGAGCTGCTGCTATTGCTATGGCTGTGGACCACGGCCGTGGACCACGGGGCCGCTTCTAGCTAATGGTTAGCTCAGCCCCTGGACGTGCAGTCTCTCCAGTCCGCTTATCAGAACTCACCTAAGAGACGCCTGGGGCAGCTTCCCCATCAATGCTGCCTCATGCCCTCCAGGCCTGGCCCACAGCACCCTGTCCCTGGCCACAAAGGAAGACTCAGGCCCAGATTGCCGCTCAGTAGTACTCATGCAGTCAGCAAGTGGCAGCAGGACTTGAACCCAGATCTTTCATACTCCCACCTTGAATCCTGAACCTGTCATTCTCTGCTGCCCAGGCATCATCTACCTGGGAGACCCCTGAACGGCAGCATGTGGGAGCAACACCACCAACTCCCTCCTAGGACTGGGCTTGGTGCACACAGTGTGAAGCATTCCGTGCCTGGGGATACTGAGGCCCAGAGACAGCAAATGACTTGACTTGTCCAGGGCCGGGTGTGACCCCACACCTGACTCCTAGAATGGCAGGGTTCCTCTGTTCAAGACCTTCCCAATTACTTCTTGATTATTTTCCCCCATGGCAGTCATCCCAGAGCATTTATTGGCACCTACTATGTGCAGTCTCTGCCTTCAGCAAGCTCCCAGGCATTCTGGGGAAACAGGATGCATGACCCTATCAGGGAGGTGGGTGCCAAGGGGGTGGAAACAGAGATGAGCAAGGGGTCCAGGCCTGAGGGCTGCTGCAAGGGGGCACAGGGAGCAATGGGCATTTCTTCCCACTTGGCCTTAGCTGACTCTCCACACCTCCCAACAGACTGAGACTCAGGAAGGAGGGGTGCAGGGCAGAAACAGGGCAGGGGCCAGCTGAGCAAGGACCTCACAGGGTCTAGAGGGGGGAGGGCTGGGACAGAGGCCTGCAGGGCCAGGCCACTGCCTGACACCGGCTGGCCGGTCACTCTAGCCCCGTCCCAGGTGGTGGTGATCCGGCAGGAGCGGGCCGGGCAGACCAGCGTGTCGCTGCTGTGGCAGGAACCCGAGCAGCCCAACGGCATCATCTTGGAGTACGAGGTCAAGTACTACGAGAAGGTGCGGGGTTAGGGGCTCAAGGCCCAGTACGGTGGGTGTGGGGGTACAGTGGGGACACAAGGTCAGGAAGTACTGTAGAAGGTGCAGGGTGGCTGAGCTCAAGTACTACAGGTGTTGGGCAGCGGTGGGCTGGCAACAGATGAGGGCGTGGCAGGGCCTGGCTGACTCTGCCCCCCCCTCCCCACCGCTTGCCCCTCATCCCCTGTCCCCTCCCCCCCGGACAGGACAAGGAGATGCAGAGCTACTCCACCCTGAAGGCTGTCACCACCCGTGCCACCGTGTCAGGCCTGAAGCCCGGCACACGCTACGTGTTCCAGGTCCGAGCCCGCACCTCGGCTGGCTGTGGCCGCTTTAGCCAGGCCATGGAGGTGGAGACAGGGAAGCCCCGTGAGTACGGAGGCTGGGAGGCAGGGGATGACTGGGATTTGAGGCCAGGGAGGGACTCAGAGAAGGAACAGTTCTTACCCGAGGCCTCAGCACAGGTGTGGCCCATCCCCTGCAGGTGTCTCCTATGCCCTGGCCACAGGTAGCCTTACAAAATCCCAGAGACTGCCTGTGAGTTGATGCTGTCCACAGCCCCATTTTACAGACAAGGAATGTAAAGATCCAAGGGAGAGTTCTCCTCAAATGCAGCCTTAGTATTACAGGGGTTGGCGAGAAATGCTGGTTCCCAGGCCTCAACCCCTCAAAGTCAGAAGGCCCAGCAATGGGGGCCCAGCCATGGGATTTCACAAGCCCCTCAGGTGATTAAGAAGCATTTCAAAGGCCCGTGGACTACACCAAGCCTTTGAAATCATTTGGTGCGGGAGGAGACGGTCACATGTGCTTTTCGTGAAACCTCATAGGTGCCTCACAGCTGTCCGTCCATACTCCCCTCCCTCCCAGTCTGAGAGGCCGGTTTTCCACTCCAGATGGCCTCAGGGGGCTCCTGTCACTTGCTGGCACCTGTGTGTCTAGTGTGCGCATGGGTCTGACCCCACCAAGACTGGAGGTGGAAGTCTTGCCTCCTCCAACTCATTTTCTGTGGGGCCTCAAGTAGGTCACTTGAGTTCTCTGAACCTCAATCTTCTTACCTGAAAGCTGCCTTAATGCAAAGATCTTTCTCGCAGGCAGTGGGGGGAGAGGGAGAGTCATGGGACCTCTTGAGTGCTCCACTCTCCTACTTGGGAACTGCTAGAGCATCAGGCAGGACACATGTTTCTGGCTCATTGACTTAGAGAGGGGAAGTGACTCTTAAAAGCCTGCACCGCACCGGGAAGCAGCAAGCTCCTGAGCCAGGAAGCCTAGCAGCCTGGTGGCCGGGCCTCAGAAGGGAGCTTATCAGATGGGGTGGGTGGACACGGGCTGGCTCGTGGCTGAAGAGGCCACCTGGCGGCTCCAGGAGGGCCAGGGCTGAGGGAAGCCCCCTTGCTTCTGTCCCTCCAGGGCCCCGCTATGACACCCGGACCATCGTGTGGATCTGCCTAACGCTGATCACGGGCCTGGTGGTGCTTTTGCTCCTGCTCATCTGCAAGAAGAGGTGAGTGGGCCTGAACCCGGTTCTGGGCCTCCTCAGTACTCTGCCTCCCATCTGCCCCAGCCCCACCAAGCCAGGGCTTCCCAGGTGTGTGCCTGAGGCTGGCTCACCTACAAACCTCTCATTTAAGCTCAGTGACACTCCAGGTAGAGTTGGCCTCGCTTTGCCGGTGAGTTCATTGAGACCAGAGAGATTAAACTACTTGCCAGCCACACAGCAGATGGACAGTAGGTCTGTCAAACCTGGGGCCCTGCTCTCAGTTGCTCTCCCCTGTCCCACTCTCCTCTAGAGGGAGGTGGAGGATCAATACTGAACGTGGGGTTCACGATCCCAGGTGGTGAAGATTGGAGGAGAAACAGGCAGGGGAGGAGAAGAGGCTGGCCAGGATAGCACAGTGGGGCTGGTGTGGGAAGCCTTGGCTAAGGGCGGCAGGGGACATGGGGGGAGGAATAAGCTGGGGCTTTGCAGTGATGGTTGGCCAGGCTGGATGGCGCTTTGTAGACTGAGCTTTGTGACTGCCCCAGCTGCCTGTCCAGACGTAGTGAGCCAAGCATGGTGATGCTCCCCCACAGACTTCCCTGCCAGGGAACAGGTGGGGTGGGGTGGGGTGGGGAGCCAGCCTGTCCCCTAGATGGGAGATGGGCTGGGGTTGGTCTGGGCCCAGCAGAGCAGTGACCGCCACTGTCCTCTGCAGACACTGTGGCTACAGCAAGGCCTTCCAGGACTCAGATGAGGAGAAGATGCACTACCAAAACGGACAGGGTGAGTGCACAGGAGGAGGCCCCGATGGCCAGGGCTGGCCTGGCCCCGCTGGGAAGGGCCAGCCTACAGGACAGATGCCTGGTGTCACAGAGCCACTGCCAGGGGCCCCTTCTGGCCCCTGCCTGGCTCACAGACCCCTGAGGACCCTCTGGCCAGGGAAACGTGCACACACACGCGCGTTCTGCGTGATTTCAGGGGGTTCTTGCACAGAGAGATTCTCAGGACCTACAGAGACCCCAAAAAGCTAGGCAGATATGAGGATACCCACCTCCACACCACACTGTGCCCAATAGTGTCGATCATGACACCACGCCCATGGGACCGAACGCAGCCTTGGAACCCTCCTTGCACAGCCCACGAGGCAGCCACTGACAGGCAATGCCGGCACTGTGGAGAAGCCCTTTTTGTGTGTTGTGGGGCATATCTCCACCCCAGCACAATTTAGGAAGGCCTTGGGGCCTATAGAAGTGACCCCGGAAACAGCAGGTTCTACCTCAAATTTACTGGACACCAAGACCCCAGAGCTGCGTCATAAGAACCCTGCTTTCACTTGGCCAGCACCTATGGGACACCTCCTGTTTGCTCCCCTATCTAGAGACTCCCAGAGATGCCTCTCCCTTCTCCCCCAGGGAATTCTGGGAGAGGAAGTTACCTTGAGCCCCACTGAGTCCTGCTCCCCACTCCCCAGCACCCCCCCCTGTCTTCCTGCCGCTGCATCACCCTCCAGGGAAGCTCCCAGAGCCCCAGTTCTGCGCAGAGCCCCACACCTATGAGGAGCCGGGCCGAGCGGGACGCGGCTTTACCCGAGAGATTGAGGCCTCCAGGATCCACATCGAGAAAATCATCGGCTCTGGTGAGCCTGGGGGTCTGTGAGCCTCGGGGGGCACCGCGGGGATCGGGGGGAAGAGAGGGATGGATGAGGAGCCAGGCGGTAGGCACTGGGTGTGCAAGGCTGGGGGAGAGAGGACCAGGCTGGCACCGGGGGCACCCACTGCTCTGCCCGCCTTGGCGGGGTCCACAGGGGAGTCTGGAGAGGTCTGCTATGGGCGGCTGCGGGTGCCGGGGCAGCGCGATGTGCCCGTGGCCATCAAAGCACTCAAAGCCGGCTACACAGAGAGGCAACGGCAGGATTTCCTCAGCGAGGCATCCATCATGGGCCAGTTTGACCACCCCAACATTATCCGCCTCGAGGGTGTCGTGACCCGAGGTAAGTGCCAGGCAGGGGGGCAGCCCCACCCTGCTGAGCCCCTCCTGCCCACAGAGGGCCCTGGGTCCTTCCTCTGGGCCACCCTGCTCTGACCTTGTCCCCCTAGATGTCTCTGGGATACTCAGCTCCCCAGAGAGATCTGTAGACTCCCTGGGGCCTCTGGTCAATAGCCCACCCCCACCATCACCACTACCAAGAGCCTCTATCTCTCCCTCCGCCATTCAGGCCGCCTGGCAATGATCGTGACGGAGTACATGGAGAACGGCTCTCTGGACGTCTTCCTGAGGGTGCGTGACCACCCGCTGCCTACACAGGGAGCGTCAGTTCTGGGTGTAGGGGATGGTGTAAAGCCCCAGCCTCTCCCCCAGCTGGCCCTGGGCACACCTGGAGAAGGCAGAGGCAGGTATGAGGCGGGGTCTGAAGGGTCAGCCCATCGAGCTGCCTGTCAGCCCCAGCCACGGAAGTCCTGCCGCTCTGTGGCTCCCTGCTGGCCTCTGCCAGGCTAAGCGTGGCTCCGTGCCCTGCCTCCCACCCCACCAGCTGGGAGAAGCAGCAGATTCCAGGTATTTGCTGAGCGCTGTTGGGCACAGGGCTTAATTTCTCTGGCCTTTAACTTTTTTCTGAAACCCAGAGCAACAATGGTCATGGGTCCATCCACCCCACAGGGTGTCTGTGAGCTCTGGGGCCCTCGGTGCTTCATCTGCTTCATTGTGGACAGCAGAGTGTCTTGTACATTGCAAGGAGCTGCCTTCACACTCGTCATTGACTCCAGGGTTCCTGGCCCCAGGTCAGGTGCCTACAGGGCCTTCCCATCGCCCATGCCAGGCCATGCTGTGTCCCCCCTGCAGAACCATGACGGGCAGTTCACCATAGTGCAGCTGGTGGGCATGCTCAGAGGGGTGGGCGCTGGCATGCGCTACCTGGCAGACCTGGGCTACATCCACCGGGACCTGGCCGCCCGCAACGTCCTTGTGGACGGCCGCCTGGTGTGCAAGGTGTCCGACTTCGGGCTCTCCCGGGCGCTGGAGGACGACCCGGACGCCGCCTACACCACTGCCGTGCGTTCTCTCCCTCCCCGCTCCCCTGGGGCAGGTGGCACCGTGGGCCCTCCCAGCCAGGGCCCTGCGCCTCCGGGCAAGTCCATCTCCTCCTTCAGGAAACGGGCACCACCTTGCTGCCTGCCCTTTATCACCTGTGCCCAGGGACACAGGCTGGTCCAGATTGTCACTCTCCGGGAAACCACATCTCCAAGTCACACACAAACTCCACATCTGTCTCTGGAGTTGGGCAGGGCGTTCTGTGGGAGTCCAGGTTGTCTGCAAAGTTCTTGGGCCTGCCTCAAGCCTGGAGTCTGAGCTGCAGGGCTCGGCCTGCCTCACTCCAAACACAGCCTGTCCCCCAGATCTGCCCAGTAATGAGCTTAGGAAACAGCTCTTGTGAAAGGCTCTCGTGAGCAAATAAGTAAGGGGAAGGGGGAAGAAGAGAGATAAGGGAGAGGAGAAGGAGGTGGGAGGAGAAGAGAGAAAAGGAAAGGGAGATGAGAAATGTCGAGAGTGGGGAGGATGAAAGGAATAGAAAAAGGAAAGGGAGAGCGGAGGAAGAGGGAGAAGAAGAGAGAGGGAAAAGGGGAAGGTTAGGGAGGAAGAGGAGGAGGGAAGGAGAAGGGAGGAAAAGAAAAGGAGAACAAGAAGGACCAGGCCCGCCCTCTGTGCTGGCTCAGGCCCTGATATTAATGGACATGTGCTGAGAGAGTGTGGGGCTCTGGGCTGCTCCCACATCCCCTCCCCCTCTCCCTGGATAGATGTTTGGGAAGGTGGCCGCCCTCTGTCCCCCACTGCACTGGGAAACAACCTCAGAGTTCTGCCTGACCCAGGCAGCCCTCAGCACCCCCTCACTCCACTTCTCCACCCTCCCCACAGGGAGGGAAGATCCCCATCCGCTGGACAGCGCCCGAGGCCATTGCCTTCAGGACCTTCTCCTCGGCCAGCGACGTGTGGAGCTTCGGCGTGGTCATGTGGGAAGTGCTGGCCTACGGGGAGCGGCCCTACTGGCACATGACCAACCGGGACGTGAGTGCAGGGTCCGGCCGGGCCACGGTGCCATGGGGCCTGGGAAGTCATGGGAAGCATGACCTGAACCCAGCACTGTGCCCGCAGGTCATCAGCTCAGTGGAGGAGGGCTACAGGCTGCCCGCGCCCATGGGCTGCCCCCGCGCCCTGCACCAGCTCATGCTGGACTGCTGGCACAAGGACCGGGCCCAGCGGCCTCGCTTCTCCCACATCGTCAGTGTCCTGGATGCGCTGATCCACAGCCCCGAGAACCTCAGGGCCACGGCCACGGCTGGCAGGTACCCAGTGCCCGCCCCAGCGTCAGCTAGGCTGGGTTGTCATCCTAGCATGGCCCCAAATAGACAGACTAGATCCAAGCCTGGCCCCTGCAGCAGCCCCAGCCCGAGCCCCAGCTCCTGCCCCCTCCTTCCTGGAGTCCAGCCTTGTGAACCCTCCACCCACCGCAGAGCACCGATGGGATCTGAGGCCCTGGCAGGCCACTCACTGAGACCCGTGTCCCCAGGTGCCCTCCCCCTGCCTTCGCCAGGAGCTGCTTTGACCTCCGCGGGGGCGGCGGGGGCCTGACTGTGGGGGACTGGCTGGACTCCATCCGCATGGGCCGCTATCGAGACCACTTTGCTGCTGGCGGTTACTCCTCCCTGGGCATGGTGCTGCGCATGAATGCTCAGTGAGTGAGAGGTGTATGGTGGTCCCCCGGGACAGGGCAGGGAGGGAGAGGCAGGTCTGGTGAGGGGATGGGTGAGGTTCTAGCCTCTGAGTTTCCAGCCACCCTGGTCAGCACCTTGCTTGCTTCGTCCTCAGGGACGTGCGCGCCCTGGGCATCACCCTCATGGGCCACCAGAAGAAGATCCTGGGCAGCATCCAGACCATGCGGGCCCAGCTGACCAGCACCCAGGGGCCCCGCCGGCACCTCTGACTGGCAGCTGTGTGGGCCCTTCCCCGCTGGACCTGGTCTTGCTGGCTATCAGAATACGTAGGACCACCCAAGGTCGAGGCAGTCCGGGCCTCTGCCTGTCCTCATCGGCCGCCACGAGGGCTGCCACAGGACCCAGAGTCACAGAGCTCAAGCACCCGGGGAGGGGGCGGGGGTTGGCCTTTGGTGCCTGGCTAGGACACCTGTCTCCCTCAAGGATGAAAAGTCTTTTTGTCTTCCAGAGCCTGGGGCCTCAAAGCCAGAGTTCTACAGAGATGTCGCTCGCCTGCCTCTGTGTGGTGTGTGTGTACACATATGCACCTGTGTATGTGTGCGTGTGTGCTTTTGTGCAAGTGTGTGTGTGTGTGTGTGCGCGCGCGCACATGCATGTGTGCACAGGTGGGCGCACTGTGGTGCCGTGTTCTCCAGGCCACAGCAGCCCTTGCAAATGTGTGTGATCCCATGTGTGTCTCCAGCCAGGTCCCAGCACCAAATGTACACACGTTCTTATGCCTGTGCTTGTCTGTTAGGGCTGAGGTGTCCTGTGTGTGTGTGTGTGTGTGTGTGTGTGTGTGTGTGTGTGAGACAGATGACAGGTCATGAATGACAAGGTGTGAGAGGTGTATGCAGGGCACTTGGTGTGGTGCTGCCCAGCAGCGCCCACAGGGGCTGGCAGAGCCCCACCCCCCTCCTCCCCCCACGCCTGGAGGCTGGAGTCTGGGCCACTTCTAAACCTCACCAGCACCAGGACCACCCCACCCCGCCTGGGTGAGCCCACCCCCGGCTGTACCTCAGGTCCAGACCTCCCTCCTGCTGTGGGGGGGGGGTCACCTGCAGCCTCCACCCGGCTTCCCCACTGCTCAACAGGAAAACAGGGTTCCTGGCCAGTCCCTCTGGCCATCTATTTCAGACATCATGGCAGAGCTGAGAAGCCCTTGGCTGGACTTGTCTGCCTGGCCAGGGCTGGGAGCCACGGGCTCCCCCTCTGCCTCTGATGCCTCCCCCCACGCCCAGGTCTCCCCTGGGGAGTCCCCTTGCCAACCGCTCACTGCCCAGCCCCCACCACGCCCAAGATCAGGGAGCATCGGATCTCAGCTGTTGGATCCCCACATTCACTCCTCCTGTACCACATGGGTAGACTGAGGTCGGGAGAATGAGTATGCCTCCTTCAAGGTGATGTGATAACCAGGTTTCAAAGCCTGTTTTCCTCCCAGCCAGGGACTCTTCTCCCACTCTTGGTCCCAAGCAGACAGCTGTGGTGGGTGGAGCCTGGGAAGCTCCTCCCCCTCAGGCTGACCCTACCCCGTACGGCCCACCAGGGTATGTAAATATCTTTTTTCTACCATGTCAGAATATTTTTTCCTCACTCCTGACAATGCAAAAATGGTCTTCAAAGCACATAAAAAGCACCAGGGTGAGAAAGCCCCAATCCCAATGGAAGCAGTGCCCAAGGAACCCCTCTGGAGGGGGAGCCCCCCTGCCTGCCCACAGGGAGAGGCCAGTCCAGCTCCCTGCCCTGCCCAGCCCCTCCCCACAGCCAGCACCGATATCCGCGGAGACACCAGCACTGAGCCCCTCCCTCCTGCAATAATTCAGGGGCCCTGCCCCGCCCAGGTGCCGCGGCCAGCTCTCACACCTCTATATATTATATTACTATATAGCCGAGCTGCTCTTCCTTCCTATGGAAGCGGGAAACAAGGTCAGGACATGAGCCGGGGGGGATGGAGGGGAGAGACAGGCGTCTGCCTCCCCCCAGCCCGCTCTCACCTGGTTTCAGGGCTCAGGATCCTTGGGGCTCTGAGGCCTGGCACTTGCCAAAGTGTGGCCCTGCCCTGGGTACGGATCCCTCTTGGGGTCCCTGGGGTCTGCCTCTCTGTGGTCTTCAGCCTGAGACTGGAATTGGCCCACAATGAGAATAAATCCTGCCTCATCTTTGCCTGTGTCCTGCGTTTTGTCTCCATCGCTCCTGGTGCAAAGGAGCAACTCTGTGTGAGTACGGGCTGCGTGCCTTCCACTCACAGTCCCTGCCACCCACCCACACACATTCCCTCCATCAGGGGGCGGCAGCCGGGTGCCCATTCCACTCGTGAGTCTCGCGGAGGTCAGCTAGCCCAAAGGCATGGAGCGGGGACACCTCAGGTTCCAAACCCAGGCAGGATCTGTCACCCAAGACACAGTTGGGGCTTGGCACCCACCATTGGTGCCTTTCACTGTCTCTTCTTGGAGAAGAAGGACCAGCTCTGGTGGGGAACAAACAGCTGGTAGGAGCCATGATGCCCTGGGGGGAAGGGACAGCATGAGTGTGGACATCTCCCGTGCTTGCTCGGACTAGGGCTGCAGCTGTTTGGGAGCTGGAGCCGGGGTGATGACCCAGAGTCTGGGCGGGACGCAGGGGCGGAGCAGAACCCAGAAAGTACATCGCAGCCACTGGCTCAGACATTTGGGGCCAATGGCCCTGAGGCCATGGAGATGAGCCAATAAAGGGTGCTAATCTGGGTGAGGAGTCTTCACACACACACACTCAAACTGGGAAAGTGGCAACAGGAAGAAATCAGCAAGATACAGCATGCTGGGACCAGCAGCACACAGCAAGCTGGTGCCGTCAGACTCCAGGCTCAGCAAGCTCCCCCTGAAACGCTAAAGTCAGCCACAGGCCCCTCTCCATGATGCCAGACAGGACGAGAAGTGTATGGTGACTGACATCCTTCTCTTAAAAGCCATGTCTGGCCCTACTAAGTACGTATGATATGCTGTGTCTCACTGTGGGTATAAGACAAAGCCGTGATCCTCAGAGACTCGGGGACCAGATGGAGTGACATAGGGCACAAAAGACGCCCCCTCCATTGGATTCCATGTGCTCAGGGTCCAGGAAATGGGGTACACAGGACTAGAGAAAATCAGAGTTGGGTGCCAGTGGCGCACACCTGTCATCCTAGCTACTCAGGAGGCTGAAATCTGAGGATCACCATTCAGAGCCAGCCCAGGTAGGAAAGTCTATAAGACTCTTTTCTCCAATTAGCCACCAGAAAACCAGAAGTGAGGTGGTGGCTCAAAGAAGTAGAGCACTAGCCTTGAGCAAAGGAGCATTGAGCTCAGGGACAGCACCCAAGCCTTGAGTTCAAGTCCCATGACCAACAGCAGCAGCAACAACAAAAAGAAACATAAATCAGAAGTCCAGACTTTTTTCTTGGGCATTAAGTTTGAAAGGGTTTGTAGGTTTGCTTTCTAGGACACCCCCCTCACCCCCCGCCCTATGCCACGCATAGGATATAGAGAGAAGATGGAGATGCCAGCCATGTGTGTAGATGGGAAACCCACTGGAAAAGTGTGTTTTTCCTCCAACTCAATCTGCACACTTCACTTCCAATAAAACTCACACCAGGGTTTTCCCTGCAAGCTGACAAGGTCATTTCAAAATGTATACGGAAAAACAACAATAACAAAAATACAGAACAGCAAGATGAATTTGAGGAAGGAAGCTGAAGAAAACGAACACCTTACCCTAGCAGCTATCAACAGTCACTGTGAAGCTTCCATAATTAAGGTAGTTTGATTTGGTGTCAGTAATAGGCTTAACAGACATAAATAAATAAACAGAGAAGGCCGGTACCAGTAGCTACACCTGTAATCCTAGCTACTCAGGATGTTGAGATCTGAGGATTGCTGTTCAAAGGCAGCCCAAGCATGAGATTCTTATCTCCAATTAACCAGCAAAGAAAAGGTGAAACTGGAGGCTTAAGTGGTAGAGTGCTCAGCCTTGAGTGAAAAATCCAGGCAAGCAAGAGCAAGAAGACCCAAGTTCAAGCTCAAGCTCTAGTACCAGAAAGAAAAACTGTCCAAAGTAAGGCTGGTGGTTTATCTCAGAGAGAGTGCTTGCCTAGCATGCATATGCTCTGCATTGAACTTCCAGAACTGCTAAAATAAAAGGGGGGTAATCAATTTACCAAAACTCCTAAGGCAATAGAAAAAATGGGCTAATTATGAACATACAAAAAGAAGAAATCTGAATGACTAATAAAGATTAAAGAGGGCTGGGAAGGTGGCTCAGTGGTAGAGTGCTTGCCTTGCATGCCAGAGGCCCTGGGTTCGATTCCTCAGCACCACATAAGCAAAAAGAAAAAAGCCGGAAGTGGCGCTGTGGCTCAAGTGGTAGAGCTCTAGCCTTGAGCTGAAGAGCTGAGGGCCAGTGCCTAGGCCCAGAGTTCAGACCCCATGACCGGACCCAAAAATAAAAAATAAAGATTAAAGAGAGAGGGAAGAAGCTGGGTACTGGTGGCTTACACCTGTAATCCTAGCTACTCAAGAGGCTAAGATCTAAGGATCCATGGTTCGAAACCAACCTGAACAAGAAAATCTGTGAGACCTTTATCTCTAATTAACCACCAGAAAACCAAAGTGGTACTGTGGCTTCAAGTGGTAGTGCTCTAGCTTTGAGCATAAAAGCTCAGGGACAGTGCCCAGGCCCTGGATTCAAGCACAATGGACAACAACAATAATAATAATATTTAAAAAGAGAGAGATCCTCCACAATGTGAAACTATTTGAACAATAAAGAGACAGCAGATTACACCAACCTGATTGGCAACATCATAACACTGGTATGGAAGGTATCGGGGAGGTGCGATGCCTGTGAACTGCGGGTGGCCTAGGAATTATCCCTAACTATTAAAAACAGTAAACTTCAAGATGAGAACATTTATGACTCTACTTCACCACTTGTCTGTGTCTGTCTTGGGCTTGGCTTCCTAAATGACCTAAGACAGGATTCTCACACAGATGCTCAATTTAGCAAGGGACAGCCATCCCCTGCCTCTTGCTATGTTACAGAAAAGCAAAAGGGAACTCAGCTCTCTCCCAGCAGGAAAGCAAGAAAATTAACTGTTTTAGAAGTGTGATGGAATAATGTACCACAGTTAGAAATGAGTCATGACATTACCATGTGTTGACACAGAGGGAAAAAATAAATGATACAGAAATACACACTGTGTATTGCCATTTATGTA